ACAGAATGGGAAAAAATCTTCACCAGTGACACATCTCACACATATTTAACAGCCAGAACATATAAAGAACTCAAAAAAAAGAGAATCGAGAAACCAAATGACCCAATTAAAAGATGGGCTAAAGATCTAAACAGAGAGTTCTCAAAAGAAGAAATAAAGATGGCTAAGAAGCATCTTAAAAGGTGTTCAACCTCATCAGTGGTTAGGGAAATCCAATTTAAAACCACTTTAAGATTTCATCTCACCCCAGTCAGACTGGCTAAGATTAAGAGAAGAAATGATACCAAATGTTGGAGAGGATATGGGGAAGCGGAACGGTCATCCACTGCTGGTCGGATTACAAAGTTGTTCATCCCCTATGGAAAGCAGTGTGGAGAATTCTTTAAAAAACCCACCATTTGACCCAGTTATAGCACTTTTTGGCGTATATCAAAACAACTCATCCTACTGCAGATACTTGTACATCCATGTTTGTTGCTGCTCTTTTCACAATAGCTAAGAGATGGAAACAACCTAAGTGTCCTTTAACTGGCGAGTGGATAATGAAAATGTGGTTCATTTAAACAATGGAGTTTTACTCAGTAGTAAAGAAAGATGAAATCATGAAATCTACAGATAATGTATGGAACTAGAAACTGTTATACTAAATGAAGTAACACAGACTCAGAAAAACAAAAAAAAAAAAATGAGGTATATTCTCCCTCATATGTGGATCCTAGCACCAAATCCTTTAAGTGAGTATGTACCCAGACATAACTACAGGAACCAGGATAATGAAAAGGAACCAGGGAGGTAAAGGAAAAGAAAGAAGCTGGAAGAGAAGAACAGTAGGAAAAAGGAGTTAATAAGGGACATATGGATAAAAATGGGGTTATTTTAAGGGGGCGGGGAGGGAGGGTTATACAAGGAACCTTGGGGATAAAGGGAAAGAAGGAGCTCAAGAGAGGTGGGACCATAGGAGAAGGGTATTATTAAGGGAGAAATGGGAAAAATGGGGGCACTTTAAATGGGGGAACCATGGTGGAAGGGTTAGACAATGCAAGAGATAAATAATGCCTAGCCAGTTTAAAAAAAAAAACCAGAGGGAATGATATGAATTGAACAACCTACTGGCAAATTATACATACAACTAGCTCAAGGAATATAATACATGACTAGGTAAGGTTTATTTGAGAACATTTGGCATTTGCCAAAGCTTTATCTACATAGCACATGGAAATTAAAAGTACCAGACTGGTGGAACTAACCTTCTTGGATGTCTAACAGCCATACTCTGAGGCCCAGACTAATTTGGTAAGGGGGTCATAAAGGACAGTTTTTGCTCCTTGCCCTCCTAGGTTGACTAAGCTCCAGGGGACTATGAGCATCTCTCAAAATGTCCTGTAACTGTGGTCATCATCTGTTCTCTTGATCAAGGAGGCCTTGGAGACCCCACCAAATGGACTTGAACCAGTGTCAAGTCTACAAAGAGGAGGGCCAACACAGAGGAAACATTTTCTCCATGCTTCCAAGTGAAGCCAGCCACAGTCAAGTAGGACCTTTGACTTATCTTCACATAGATGGAACTGGTAAAAGAAAGGAGCCAGGGGCTCCTCCCAAGTCCATGTGACGGCCCTGAAGAACAGATCCTCAAGTGACATTAAGAGTAAAAAAAATAATTGGTTTATCTGGGCCAACTGTATGGTCTTAAACACCCAAAAGAAAAGTATAACCAAAGATTAAAGGGATCAATATAATTCTTTAAGAGTCCATGTATATAGCTAAAAGCTACATAACAACAAACAATGCCAGACAGGAGATACCTTCCTTTGAGTTGTTGGCCAGGGTGGGCAAAGAGACTCCCAGACAGTAACCCAGCACAGAACTGGGAAAATGAACAGCAGACCCCAATCTTATCTAAAGGAATACTGGCAACTGATTGCTGCTAGATGAGGAACAGCTGATCTTCCTAAAATAAGGAATTCTAGATAGGCTGACTAGATTTAGGGATGGACAAGCACTGGAGAATGGCTGGGGGTGCCAACAACACAGTACACAGTAACAGGGATTACAGAATATATGGGCTGCAGTGAGGTTGGGGGCAGACTATGGGAGGGAGCCATTTGGGATGTGGGTATATAGATGAATAAGATTGTTTGGGATGTTCTATATGAAATAAAAATCAACAAAAAATGAGTTATATTTGAGGAAGAAGCATAAAAATTTGCTTCTTTGCTCTGGAAATTGTTATTGAATATGCTAATGCTGTAATGAAATGCTTCTTCTCATCATGTGGTTAATAAATAAATATTTTTTTAAAAAATTCTCAAAAAAAAAATCTTTTTGTCCCGACTGCTTAAAAGCACCACCACACCTGGGAGAGTCACAACTAACTCCCATCTACCAGAGACAGGTGAGGGCTTAGCTGGCTCATGAACAAGCCTCTATCTGTGAACCTATTACGCTGATCCCTTACTTTCAGCTTCTTACCAAACTTGTCAGCCTTCATAATGAACATTTTAAAAGTTTCTGGCACATATTTTAAAAATGTGGTTTTGGATATATGGTAGATTGAGAGCTTAATTCTTTTTAGTGAAAAGTAAGAATTATAATGATATTCAGTAGGACACATAAATTTCTGGAATGATACTGTGTATCAGAGGAGCTGTGAAAAAAAAAAAGTCAGTATTTTAGCACCTAAAATTACAGGAATATTGAACTGCATTACCAAGGACTTGGGTAATATCATGCTTTGCTTCTTAAGTGGATTCTTCTTAAGATGCCAATATGCAAATCCCACGATAACAATTAGGAAGAGCAGCACAAAAGCAGCAACAATTGGAATCCAAACTGAACCTAAAAAGGGAACCATCACAAATTAGAATGGAGACAGAATCGTGCTGTTGTATGAGACAGCACTGCTCCATAGTTGACGTCTGTGTTAATATTCAGACAACACTGGAACAGAACTCAGGCAGTCTGTGTGGAAGTCCTGGGATGTATCCTAGACAGTGATTTCCTTCTTCCCCTCCTGTAATTCTAAAGCATTCTAGAACTTGCTGTCATCACACAGGTAGAAATAGCATCTTTATAACAACTTCTGCATAGCCTCAAAATAGGGTGTTTCCAAGGTTACACTTTCTTCTCAGTTAAAAGGGCAAAAGAATTTTAAAATGTCTCTCTTTAGAAATAATTCTGACATGTTGGCAACTCTTAATAATTTTGCCCTTTGTCCTCAGCTTCTTATTCCACTTTTTTGTTTGAAGACTGTACATATGTATACAAGTGCACAGAAGCCACACAAACTCACACACACGCATGCCACTCACACATACACCAAGTACTGCTGCTTGGGACTGAAACTGCCTACTCACAAACAAGACATACAGAATAACAAGAAATGGGGAAGATTCTGCCCAGGGCACACACACACCTGTCATCATCACTGTCTATTTTGGTCTAATGATGTTTTAGTTTTTTCACAGCACAATCTTCAACATTTCTTCACAGTCCCCTCTTCTAAAAGTGAGCAGTAATCCGTATATTAGGGCAGTGTTTGGTCTCTTTCACAACATTTCATAGCTCTAAATTCTATTCTACAGTTAATTCTTTGGAACAATATCTAGAAATTACTGCTTCAGGAATGTTCATGTCACATCCATAATGGGGCTGTGTTTAAACGAATTAAATTATTACAACAACAACAGAAGCACAACATAATGAGTAAAAGTAGTGTATTATTAGAAGGCCACTGACATCCAGGGTACTAAGTAAGGAAGCAGCTTCCAAGGCCTGTAGCAACAAGGTGCTGACTACGCCCAGGAGCTACACTGCTGCCACCCTGTGGCCATCATATCAATCCAATTTTTTTTCTCTTTTTTCTTTTTTGTATTACGGCTTTATATAAAATTGGATTTGGGATAAGTGCAAGTGCATCATTTAAAATTTTGCATTAAATAGAATTCTGTTTTTCAAATGTCATAATGTAAATCAGCATAAAATGCACTGCATTAGTTTAAACTGTATCTGAACTTCACACAATGGCCTGACAGTTACTAGTATCAAATTTTAGGTGTCTGTCTGATCTGGCATTTCAGCCTAGATTGTCACAGTTTCAACCAATAGCATAGGCTCATCAGTGATTATTATGAAAACCATATGCCACAAATAACAGAAAGACCTAGAAGAGATGGATAAATTTACGGCCATTTACACCCTAACAAAATTGAATGTGAGGGCATTTAAGACACCAGCACAGACCAGTAACAGCACTAAGACCAAATCAGTGATAAACGTTTCCCAACAAAGAAAAGCCTAGAACCAAAAGCACAGTCTCACCAAACTTTTAAAGAGCTAAAGCTAACTCTTCTCAAACTTCTCAAACTTATATAGATCATTACCTCTGATGAGCACAAGTGTGAATATTCTCAACAAAACGCAGGCAAATTGAACTGAACAGCATATCATAAAGATCACTATTCAAGCTGGCTTCATCCCAAGGATGCAAGGATGGTTCAGTGTACACAATCAATAAATAATATATCACATCAACAGTATAAAGAATAAAATGATCATCTCAGTAGATGCAGAAGAAGTTCTGACAAAATTCAACAACCATTGTTTAATGATGACGAAAGCAAACTAGGTATAGAAGGTTCATACTTGAACATGATAAAACAAACCCACAGCCAATACCCCCTGAATGCAGAGGCACTGTAAGTATTTCCTCCAATACCAGCACAAGACATGGCATTCACTCTCACTGTTCCAATTCCATAGAGTACTAGAAGTTTTAGCTAGTGCAATTAGGCAAGAGAAAGAAGTAAAAGGCACAAAGAAAGAGAAGTCCAATTATCCTCATCTGCAGATATGATTCTACAGACAGAAAAAATGAAGCACTACGCAAGAAAACTATTAGAACTGATAAATGAAACCATAAAGGTCAAAAAATAAAATCAAAACATTAAAACAGCAGCCTATTTACACACCAATATTAAATTTACTGAAAAAGAAATCATTAAAGCAATCTCATTCATAATAGCTAAAAGAAAAACAAATAAAGGAAAATCAAACTTAGGAATAAGTTTCATGAAGGAGGAACATACAAGACGTTGCCAGTGAAAATGATGAAACACAGGCAAAACAAATGGAGGACACAAAAAATGGAGAGGCCATCAAAGTTCATGAATTAGAATTGCTGTTGTTGAAATGTCTGTACTACCACCACCGTCTATACTTTCAACACAAATTTCATAGAACTAGAAGAGACCATCCTAAAGTCCATATGGAACCACACAAAACCCAATCGAAGCTGAAGTAATCAAAGCACCTGATTTCAAAGCACAGTGTGGTACAAGCATAAAAACAGATGTATGGAGTGGTGGGCCGAGCAGATTCTAGAAGTGAACCCATGCAGCTACAACCTAGCACAAAGGACAGTCTTTTCAAAAAATGGTGCTGGGAAAACTGGACAGCCTCACAGAGAAGACTGAATCTCTCAACCTGTGCAAAAATCAATTCAAAATGGATTAAAGACCTAACTGTAAGAACCTGAAACTCTGAAACTAGAAGAAAACAGGAGAAACACTTTGAGACAATGGTGCGTGTGACAATGCTTTGGATAGGATCCCAAAAGCATAGGAAACAGAAAGAAGAATATGTAAAATCAATATTCTCCATGGAAAAGAAAGAATCCAAAAAGTGAAGAGAAAACGAGAATAGGAGAAAACTGTCATTCATTCCTCTGACAGGATTAATATAAGGAATTTAAAAAATGCCTGTTCTCTAGCAACAACAACAACAAAATGTGGGTAGGAATGTAGAGGAAAAGGAAATCCTGTATTTTCTTGGTAGGAACGTAAAGTAAATTAGTACAGCCATTAGGAAGAACAGTACAGAGGCCCTCAAAAAATGAAAAAATACATCTACCATGGGATCCAGCAATCTCAAAGGAAATGAAACTGAATACCAGTAAGGCACCTGCATGCCCATATATACTGCAGAACTATTCACAATAGCTAAGACAGGGAACTCAGCATAGGTGTCCATGAATAGAATGAAGAAATGTGACATATATGGATATTATTCAGCCATAAATATGAATAAAATCCCGTCATTTGCTTCATGTTAATTAGTAGAGGTGAAAAACATTACCATTGAAATCTACCTGATGACTTTATATCCATGCTCAGGTGCCAAGGATCTCAGAAAGTAACTGTGACTAGTAATAATCAGATACATAGAGATTAGAGATGCATGTGCAAGCATCTAAGTGTTAGTAGCATTAAAAATAAGTTTTTCTGTATGAAAAGGTATATTTTAAAATGAAACGGAGATCTTTTTTAAAGGTTCAGACCTCATTCAATTTTGTCTTATAGGGTTTATACTGAGTTCAATATTGTATAACTCTTAATTCAACGGTGAACCTAAAATTTTACAGCCAATTTTGAAAGAGAAAAGATAAGCATCTTTGCTCTGGAAATTGTTATTGAATATGTTAATGCTGTAATGAAATGCTTCTAATGATGTGGTTATTAAATAATTTTAAAAAAATCAATGTAACAAATTTAAATCCCCTCTGCAACTGTTATTTTAAAATAAATCTGAAATTTCTTTTTTTAAAAAAAAAATCCTGTCATTTACAGAAAAATGTACTGAAATGTTGGCTATCATGTTAAGCAAAATTTGCCACACATAGACAAGTACAGAATGTTTTCAAAAGTCAGTCTATATGGGGTGTGGGTGTGCATGCCTATAATCCCAATACTAGACTAGAAGTAGAAGCAAGAGGATTGCCACAGGTTCAAGGCCAGCCTGCTACACAGCAAGTTCCAGGGCAGCCAGGATTATACAGGACTATACAGAGAGAACATGTCTTAAAGGGCCAAAATCAATCTGAACGTAAAATAGTGACAAATAGGGGTTGGAAAGGGTGTGTGCGGGAAGGGAGGGACGGTGATGAAGAGTTGGATTTGATCAGTTCATGCTATATGCATATGTAGAAAGATCACATTGAACTACATGTATACTTAATAAATGTTAATAACAAATAGAACATATGCCTTGGTTTTTTGCAATAACTATGTTCAATGTTTCCTGTGTGGCTATAAAGTCAGTTCATGACAGCTATCAATTTTTAAAGATAATTCTGCTAAGATTATTTAATGACCCCAAACTGAGTCAAGTGTAATTACAGGAAGTTTATCATTAAAACATTGAATAAATTAGCAATAGCTGAATATAGTTTTATAGGGATATGATAAATTTTCTGTGTTTAGATTTTTTTTAATCTTACCATTGATTTTCTAGTAAATAGTGTATGACGGTTGTACTTGAGGTTCCATTTGACTTTTAATGTATTACTTTTAGTATATTACTCTAGAAAACTGGCATATCTCTATTTTCCTGGTTTCATTGGAGTAATTTTATTTGTATTGAGTTGATATTGAAATGCGCTTTGTTTTCGTATTAAAGAATATAAATTATTTTATTAACTAGAAATATTTTTCTACTTTTTCAACTGACTTTCATTTTTCCCCATGAAAAACAGCACTGTTTTGTTTCTTAAAAAATACATTTGAGGGACTGGAGAGAAGGCTCTGTGGTTAAGAGCACTGGCTGCTCTTGCAGAACCTGGGTTCAATTCCCAGCACCCACATGGTGGTAAACATCTATCTGTAACTCCAGATCCAGGGAATTTAATGCCCTCTTCTGACCTCTGTGGGCACTGCACGACACAGGTGCAGGCAATACATTCATATACATAAAATAAAAATAATAAAGTATTTTAAAAAATACACTTGAGAGTGGGAGGGGGGAAGGTTAGAAAAGGAGAAAGAGGAGAGATAAATAAAAAGCCAGAGGGAAACGTCAAAAAGCCCTGAAAAATACACATACAATATCTGAACATGAGTGCATGTGTATACCTGAAGGCCATATAACAAAAAACACAGTGCCAGACAAGAGAAACCTCCCTTCGAATTGTTGGTCAGGGTAGTCCAAGAGACTCCCAAAAAACCACAGGCTATTGCCATAGCCCTTGATTACCACTCACAACTTGAAGGTAAGACCCTATTGGTGAAGACAGGACATACTTCAGACACAGGACTTGGAGCAATGGAGCTGAAACTGACCTGGAAGCCTCCCCCCGAAGACTAGCTCTCATAGTTCTAGAGGATACTATGCAAGTTGCTAAGGGAGAAAATCAGTCAACAGTCCAGCCCAGCTCTAAAGCCCAATAACCATAACAACTGGCCCAGGAAACTAGCTCTACTGGTGCAGTAGTGGCACTTTTATCTAGGTGGTGATCAACAGCTATCTAATTGGACTTAAAACCTTCTCAGTGGGAGGGAACTCATGGATGGTTCTGCAAATATAGCTAAATACACATGGCTGGAGAGGTCATAGATCCTAGAGAAAATCCTATTTCTGTCATAGCTCTAGACAAGTGTAATTTCTTACTATATGCTAAATATGGATCCTTATATTTACAGACCATATACTACTCATCAAAGAAGCTTCTTTTTGCAACAGACAGAGGCTATTACAGAGGTCCACAACTGGTCACACACAGAGAATATATGTCTGAGAGATGCCCAGTCCTAAGTAACACATCTACAGTGGAACCTCTAACCTAAGGCTCATAAACATTATGGAACGGGGGTAGAGAGAATACTAACATGTCCTTCAACTCTCACCAGCGAAGCTTCCTCATTCAATGAAGTTTGATGCACATAGAACGCCACAACTGGCCAAGTTTTTAGAGAATAACAGACTGCATAGTGCATGTCCCTGGATAGGACTCCTATATTGAACCTCCCCCATCCATGGCACAGGGATCACTGTGGAAGAGGGGGTGGAAAGATTGTAAGAGCTGCCATGAACATAAGGAAACAGAGGCTTTCAGGCCTCTGGGAAGTTGCTCATATGAACTTGCAGCAATGGTGACTCAATGCTGACTCAATCAATAGACAAAACCCCAGCAAAGTACTGGGAGAAATGGGCAGCAGGCCCCAACCTTGGCAGAGGAACTATTGGCAACTGATTACTGTGAGGTAAGGGAAAGAGAGTAGGTCTTCTTTAAGGGAGTGACTCTAGATAGGCTGAACGTGTATGGAGGGACATCTGGGTACAAATGCTTGACTATACAGGACTTAACATATATGACAGAATGCATGAAATCAGGTGGGGGGGCTATGAGAGGAAGTGGATGGGAGCTGGGGGGGTCTAAATTTCACTAAGATCTATTACACGAAATGCACAAAAACTCAATAAAAATACATTTGAATTATAAAATTTAGTACCTTTTCTAGCATAGGAAAGAAATTTTAAAAACATATTGAAAACAGGAAAAGACACACAAAAGAATGTTATTTACAGGATTAAATATCATATGGACATAAAACAATTAATGTACTATGTAGAAAAATGAAAAATATTTTAAGAATCTTTTCCTAAGGCAGTCCACAAAATTATATGTACTACACAAGCTGCATAAAAAAAAAGCAAAGAGAAAGAAGACAATGAACTGTGAGCAGTGGCTTTCTCTCTGGATGGCAGGACTGCAGATTTTGTTTTCTTCTGGCTTTTTAAAGCTTACAAATTATGAAATGAACATTTGAAGTACAGATGCTTCTGCATATGATTTTTTACGTATTACACATTCTGTTCTTTGCTGGGTCAAAAGGTTATCTCGTGGCTTTTTGAGTTGGTTGCTGTAATACACTTCAATGACCGAGAAACTGCCTTGCTTTTAATTTGGAGCTTCTCTTAGGAATGGAACTACTTAATATCTTTAAAAGACAAGACATTTGTTGAAAGCGTAAATAAATCTGCTTCTTTTGACATTACCCTAGGTCAGTTACCATTCTCTATCTTCAGAGGGGAAAAGAAAGGCAAGAACTTACCTTTAATGCTGTTATGGGAAAGGCTAATGCAGGCTTCCTTTGATTTTTCAGTTGTAAGTTCCCAGGAGTCTGAGATTCCTTCTACTGAAACACAGTACTCGAAGTCTAGGGAGGTGACTGTGATGTTTAACTGACATTCAGTCTCGCTGCAATCTTGTGTTTTGAGTACATGCTTTGTAAATAGGATCTACAGGAGGAAAAATATATATGTATATGTATATGAAAACGAATGGCTTCTCTAATAACAGCTTTGGCATCAACTAATACATGTATTTGTTACTTCAGTGCTGCAAGGTGAAGTGCATCTGTTAAGATATTCTCACAGGAGCAGTAGCTTTAACAACCTGAAGAGCATAACTGTTCTCTGTTAGCTGTTAAAGCAGAAAATGCTGGCTCATCCTATTCCTGGAGTGCCAGAGACAGCTGGAGAGAGAGATAAGCCTTTGAGAGGAAGCAGAACAGAGGTGCTACCCAAAGGCTGCAGATCTCTGGGCAGTAAGTACATAAACAAGACTGAAGTGCTGGACACTTGTAGATCTCCTGTGCTAGGGCCAAGACAAGCTGTGCTGTGGCTCAGCTAAGTGTCATCTGAGGTATTAAGGGCTGGTTGCTGAGGAGGCCATACTGCGAAGTACCTTGGACCTTTAAGAAGCATGGCCTAACAGGAGGCTGTAAAGCTTTGAGTATAAAATATCCCCACAGGCTCATGTGCTAAATCCTAGGTCTTTAGGAGGTAGTGCTATTTTGGGAGGTGCTGGAAAGTTCTGGATGTGACTTCTCACTGGAGGAAATAGGTCACTTGGGGTTGAAAATTTGAGGATGTGCAGTCTCTGCTCCCTCCTGCCTCATTTTCAGCTTGCTATTATATCTGACTTGAGATGAGGACGACTTCCCTCTGCCACATTCCTGCAATGACACCTTGTCCAAGTGCATGCAGCCAGATGACCAGGGACTGTGCCCTCTGAAACAAAGAACCAATAATAGATCTACTCCTTTAAGTTGCTTCTGTCAGGTATTTGGTCACGGTGACAAGAGAGTGAGGAACACAGGGGTCCTTAGGTCACAGGGGCATACCCTTGGTCTGCCTAGCCTCAGGAAGGTTTGAGATGTGATCCCTTTGGGCTAGAGGTATAGTTCGATGCCTGCCTTGTGTTTGTGAAGCCATGGGTTTGATTCCTAGCACCAAGGAAAAAATAGAGATGCAATCACTTATTCCTATGTGTGCTTCCTGTGATGTATATGATGTGCCACCATCCGCCACCAACTGCCATCCTCACCAGAAGAGAGCAGATGCCAACACCATGTCTTTGAGCATTTAAAACTGTGAGCTAAGTAAACTTTTTCATTTGGTAAGTAACTTGTCTCAGGTGTATTGTAGTAACATAAAGATGACAACAGGTGTTTTACAGTGCCTGATTTAGTATACCTAACAATTTAGTGCAGAAAAGTTAAGAAATGTAACAGAAACTAAGAGGTACTGCAAGAGGAATCCAATATGGAACAAGGAAAAACGAACCAGACTACAGGAAAAGAAACAGCCAGCTGAGTATAGGACGACTATCGAAGAGTGAGCAGAAAGGTGCCAAATGGAGAAAGTGGAGAAAGGCATTCTGGGAAAGAGCTTGGCACTTTCAGACAAGAACAAGCAGCTCATCAAAGCATAGATGGAAGCCAGGCTGGAGGGGGCAGGGAGACCGGCTAGAGAGACACACAGGGCCAATCATGAGGACTGTGTCTCTCATGCCAGGGAAGGGAATTTGCCAAGTTACTTTGTAGCTGATAGGGTTTGTTTGTTTAGACAGGGTCTTCCTGTAGCCCCAGCTGATATGTAGACCAGGCTGGCCTCCATCTCAGAGAGGCCTATTTGCCTTTAGCTTCCACGTGCTGGGATTAAAGGTGTGCTGGATAGTGATGGTGTCAACTTGGCACACCTGTGTTGATGGAGCCTCAATTGAGGAATTGCTTCCATTGAACTGGCCTGTGGCCATGTCTGTGGGGCATCTTCTTCATTGTTGTGTGACGTGGGAGGGCCCAGCCCACTGTGGGTGGTGCCACCCCTTGGCAGGTGGGCCTGTGTTGCATAAGAAAGCAGGCTGAGCAGGGACCAGGGGAGCAAGCCAGTAAGCAGCATTCCTCCATGGTCTGTCCTCTAGCTCCTGCCTCCAAGTTCCTGCTGAGTTCCTACCTTGGGCTCCCTGATGAACTGTGACCCAGGAGATGTAAGATAAAAGAAACCCTTTCCTCCCCAAGTTGATAGTGGTCAGAGTGTTTTGTCACAGCATGGAGAAACAAACTAGAACAAAAGGCATGTACCACCATGCCTGGCTTGAAAGGGTTTTAAGCAGTAAAATAATAAAATTTAGACTTTCAGTTTAGAAAGTCAACCCTGAGCGGCCAAGTAGATGTTTAAGAAGGGAAATCTGGTGTTATACGGTTCCTGAAGAGCAGATCTTACTCAAGATAAAAGGATCAAAATCAAAACCCTCCAATGCCCTCTCTGTCGTCACCTGTTCCCTACACTCTTTCCCAAAGCACCACTGACTCCCTGGCTTCTTTCCCCATGTACCAACTATGCCTCTGTGGGGTCCTCTGCCTTGACTGGGCCCTGGGCCTGAGTATAGCCATGGGGGTCAGCTTCTAACCTCAGCCTTGGCCCCAGTTAACACCTCCCCTGGAGGCCTGCTCTGACCCCTCCATTGAAAACCACTACTCCATCCCTACAGGCTGCCCACACCCTTTCTCACTGCCACAATTACCCCATTCCTCTACACTGTTCCCTCCTGTAGTTCTGGGAACCTAGAAGGCACACAGTATACATTTGATAAATATTTATTAAATAAATGAATGGCAATGGTGTGCAGAATGGATGAAACATGGTTCCAATCAGTGTGTGGACTCCACACCAGTGCCAGATTAATGTAATTATATTGCTAGAGTTGTACACTTTTTCTGTCAAAAACGATTCAAATTATAGTTGCATATTATATTACATACTACATATTATCAGTGAAGGGAAAAAATATTCTAAAATTATCTTCATCTTACCATTAGAGAAACAGAGGTGTGGAGGGTAAAATTCTAGTGGGCCATGCTGTTACACAGGCTAAGAAAAAAACTAAAATCTGGCCAGTTCAGTGACTGACTCCATGCGGGGTCACTTTGAGGGCGTCTGTCTACGATCCATGAGTCTTATCTGCATACTCATGAGCAGTCCACCTTTATTAGAGTATAGGAAAACAACTCGCAGTAGTTACAGAATAGTTTCCATTTTGAAAATGAAGATACACAAACACATACATCACCAGTTCTGTTCCTTCGCACGTACACACGGTAATCGAATGTGTGACAGACACTGTCGTCATCAAACATGATTCCCAACACTTCTCCATTTACGATGACCTCGGGGTGAAATATGTCAACAGTGACCTGTTCTTCTCTCCTTTTGATGTCCACTCTGGGTGGCCCAATTTTTCCTGGGAAGAGAGGGAAAGCATAATTCCTATTGGTCTTGTAACTTCATAATGTAGCTCATAAACCTATCAAAATTAATTGATCAATCCACTCTTCTTTTATGTTTTTTTTCTAAGTAGGACACATTTAAACTCCCCCATGAAGATACAGAAGACATGCTAAATATACTTCATAATAAATATACTTTTAATAAATCTCAAGCAAGAAGCTCTCTTAATCTAAATTCCACTTTAACATTCAATTTCAATTCCAGCTCTAGGAAGGTCATAAAAGTTGGGGTTTTTTTTGTTTTGTTTTGTTTTGTTTTTTAAACTTTTACAAAAACTTTATTGAGAATTTCATACCTGCACATAAGGTATTTTGATCAAATCATGCCCACTCCCTCCCCTCCAACATTGCCCCCTCTGAAGAGGTAACCCTAAAATCTTTTAAGGATTAGATACAAGCTCCCAAATACTTTTGACGTATTGACATTTTTGGCCTTTGGAACAGAGTATGTTGCTAACAGGCCCAAGAACAGTTTGACTTTTAGCCTACAAACTGGCTATATAAGATGTAAACAGAAACATGCATAGCTAGGATTGCAAAGCTAGCATTCAGCTGAGAGAGTAGTTATTGCATTAAGCTGACTCCTAATGACTTACTGTCATACCCATCACTTAAATCTCTCAACTCTCACCAGAGAAGTTTCCTTATGCAGCAGATGGTAGTTAACACAAAAACCCACAACTGGCCAATGTGCAGAGAACAAGAGACTGCAGAGTGCTTATCCCTGAATAGGACACCTATATCAAACTTCAGCCCCCAAGGCTCAGGGATCATTGCAAAAGCAGGGGCAGAAAGACTGTAAGAACCAGGGGGGCTGGATGACCACAAGAAAATAGAGTTTTCCAGACAGCTGCTCAGTTCCTCATATGAACTCACAGCAATGGTAATGGAATGCACAAGTCCCATGCAAGCTCAAACCAGACAAATTCCAGCACAGACCATGGGAAAGCGGGCAAGAAACCCCAACCTAATCTAAGAAACTTTTGGCAACCAATGGCTGTTGGGAGGGGGAGATACAGTCTCTTATAGGGATGGGACTTTTGGTAGGTTAGCCAGGCTCCATTCAGGACCTACATTGGATATTTGGGAACACAAATTAGACTCTATAGGCCATAATATATATAAAATAGAGTACATTAAATTGGGCCGGGGTCAGTAAGGGGTAGTGACGATAGGGAAAGGATCTAAATGCCATCAAATTATATTGTATGAAAATTGTAAAAATTCAATAAAAATTTAAAAATAAAAGATTAAATAGATGGGAAAAAAGATGAAAAGGGTAGGCTGGTGATGTAGGCCTGTAATTACAGCTACTCAGTTTAGGGCAAGAGGATCATTAAGTTCAAGGCCTGTGTGGGCTACAGAATGAGTCTGAGGCCAGTCCAGGCATCCTTAAAATAAAAAAGTAAAAAGAAGGCTGGAGATGTATTATCAATGGAGGTGCACTACCTAGCAGGCCCAAGGTTCATTCCCCAGCAACATACAGGTATGCACACATATGCATGCACACACACAGAGACACATACAGACACACATGCATGCACACACAGAGACACACACTCTGCTCTGGTAAGTACTTTTCCCTTTATCTTTGCTGTAGATTAAGAAGCCTGGTTTCTAAAAGCTTTCTGAAAAGAATTTTTAGTCATGTTCCCCTGAAATTTTGTGTTTTAACATTCATGGGTGTCTGGCAAGAAGATTCTACAGAAGTTTATTAATAGCTCAATTTTAACTATGAAAATCAGGACTAGAGATTCAAGTATTCAATACATACTCCCTGATATCTGGGGCTTGTCTGGTGAACATCTTACATGTTTCTCATATTTACTCTGTACAGAATGTGTTCCACGCAGGTCTGGTTTTGACTGTCCACTATATCTCAAGCATACTTTCTGGGGCATGGAACATGCTTGATAAATCTGTAGGGGACAAATCTGACAGGTGGCATGTGTCAAATGATACATGTGTAGACCCTGGAGAATAAGTAAAGGAAAACTCCAGTTAAAACTGGAAAAGCAGGCGCAGAATCAAGTGTGGGCACGACAGGCAGGACAGGGGCTGAGTAACCAAGCACAGAAATGCGCAAGGAAGAAAGGGGAAGCTGGAAGAGGAGGACCAGGGTGAGGAGATTAGGGGAGAAACAACTAAAGTGTCTTTTACTCTGAAGTCAGAGGATGAAGACTAAGATGGGATACTATATAAAAAAACAGAATTGGAACTGAAGATTCTAGAGCTAGAGATGAGCGTTGAGGCCAGGTACTACGGAATGGGAGGTGGGAAGAGTTGAAAATCTTGGGGCTCAGAAAGATGAAACTCTAAATTTTCCTTCCTTCCTTCCTTCCTTCCTTCCTTCCTTCCTTCCTTCCTTCCTTCCTTCCTTTTTGTTTTGACTGTTATTGAAGGTAACTGTATATGATTTCCACATTTTAAAATAATGAAAAACTAAACATTTCTTGTCCTTTTTTCCCTCCCTCCCTCCCTCCCTCCTTCTCTCCTTCTCTCCCTTCCTTCTCTCCCTCCCTCCCGCCTTCTCTCCCTCCCTCCCTCCTTCTCTCCCTCCCTCCTTCCCTTCCTCCCTTCCTTCCTCCCTCCCTCTCTTCCTTCCTTTTCTTTGAGACAGACTGGCCTCTGACACTTAAATAACTCTTGATTTTCCAATTTAGCTTCCTGAGTACTGGGATTACAGATGTACTTACCATATCTGGCTTGGACCTCTAAAATTATTAATGTATTAAGTTGGTATTTATGTTTTCAAGGGCATCAAGGACTTAAGGGAAGGAATGAGTACCCAGTGGTCAAGACCTTGGTGAAAGCACTTTGAAATGAAGTATAAGGAAGACAGGGAGGGAAAGGTTGATATCCAGCATAACTGAACATTTGAATGGACTGGATGGTAAATGGTTTAAAAGTACCAAAAGTGAAGGCCAGCTCATCCTTATTTTGTAGGGCTTTGAAGAAAGATGATATTGACTCATTAGATTCTTTTAAATGTTTCCTGGGCAACTGTAGCAACCACCAATAAAAACAACATACACAGAAGACATGTACACGTGTGTGTGTGTGTGTGTGTGTGTGTGTGTGTGTAAAGTATTCTCAAATGTAAATTTACCCATATATATATTCTGCTCACCTTGCCTGCACATAGTAAAATCTTTTGACACTGAATAGTCAGATTCCTTTTGTCCAATCCTGGCTTTAACTCTGGCCCAGACAGAATTAATAGGATCATGAACTTGTTCATAAATATTGCAACAATGATCAAAGATATTGGTGCAGGCATCAGTCCATTCTCCAGGCCTGAAATGAAAAAGAGGAAAGAGACATATACATAAATCTTATTTTTCACATAAACTTTAACCATCCCTATGTGTTTTGCTTTTCACTCACAGCCCTCAGCTGATAGGGAGAGATGAATTAAAATAGGATGGAGAGGCCAGACAAAGGCAGAAGCACTTACTCTTGAATTAGAGATCCTAGCTCAGTACCTCCAACCCACAAACCTCTGAAGTTCAAATGGTTCCAAAACCCAAAATCTTTTTAGTATCTACTTGATGCCACAAGAGCAAAGAAAATTCTATACCATAAAAATTTGCTTAATACATGAAATTAATTTTTCAAAATATATGAACTTGGAGGTAGCTGAGCGGTAAAAAGCTTATGAGGCATGTACCCTTAGTTCATGCTTCACAAAATGATTAAATTATATATATGTATATGGCCCCTGCCTTTAATCCCAGCACTCGGGAAGCAGAGGCAGGCGGGTCTCTGTGAGTTCAAGGCCTGGTCTACATAGTGAGTTCCAGGACAGCTGGGGCTACAGGGAAACCCTGTCTCAAAAAGAGCCAAAAAAAAAAAAAAAATCCTTCTTAACAGAAAAGCCAAGACGCTTTTTAAAAATTTTTTAAATATTTTATTATTTTTATTTTATGTGTATGAGTGTATTGCCTGCATGTATGTGAGTGCACCCATGTCATGCAGTGTTGCAGAGATCAAAAGAGGGCTTTGGATTCCCCTGGAACTGGAGTTAAGGATGGTTCATAGCCGCCACTTGGGTGCTGGGAATCAAACCTGGGTCCTCTGCAAGAGCAGTCAGTGCTCTTAACCGCTGAGCCATCGCTCCAGCCCCTAAATTATATTTTTTAATGAATAAAATACCATAAAATTACAAGTTACTTTCAGGTATATGTACATAATGTATGTATAAAATCTAATCCCATGTTTAGGCTTAGGTCCAATCCCCAAGATACCTTTTTATGTGTACATAAATATTTCAAAATCTGAAAAACATTAGAAATATAAAAAGTTCTGGTCCCAAGTATTTGACAGAAAGGATATTTCACTTGTATTATTACATTCCTTTAAAAGAGAGAGTTCATTTCAAAACATAAGACTTGAACAAATACATTTCATATTTAATTTTTAAAATCTGATTTTTCAAACAATTATGGATTCCATTAACATAGATGTAACTCAATTGCAGAATGAAACACATTAGAAAAGTCTTAACAACAGTCAGGCTTTTTGGAAATTTATATGTCTAATAAATTTTATGTATTAGCTTCGTTTGTAATTCCTTAAAATATTAGAAGTTACTTGTCGACAGAAGAGCTCTTCATTTTCTTCATTTAACCATTATTATTTAATAACAACATAGATCTAGTTCTTCCTTC